AGCTGAAACTCACCGGTTTACACCGCCGAGGAGGGCTGGAACGGACGAGGACCGAGAAAAAGCCGCCGAATTTGGCCACTACCAACGGCAGAAGCAGGGAGTGCTAATACCGAATTATGCACGTACTCGGGAGGAATCACACAGCATCAGGCTCGGGCTTCTAAACCGGGACAGTGCCAAATTTCTAATAACTGTGTAATATGCTTATTTATACCATACAAGGACTTACAAACCTCATTGTGCATAGCAGCTGGGTCATATTTCTTTACCCTTCCATTCCTCAGGCTCTTTTGCCAAGAGACGGGTACCAAACACTCCTAGCCTGAAAGGAAAACACAAAATTCAGCTGCAAAGCAACGATGGCAGGAAGCGCGGGGAAGATGCGGGCGGGCACGCGGCCCCTTCATCCCCAGCATCTGCCTGGAATAGATGCACTCGGGGGGTACCGAAAATACGCACGCTTTTAAACGCAAGTGATTCTCCGCTGCTAAAATCGTTCGCTCGAGTTCTCCGCACGGATTTGCCCGACCTGGGCACTTTTGTAGGCTCTAAGGTTTTGTTTTAGACCATTAAGAAAATGTTTTTAACGAATGTTTTGAAACGTTGCAAGCTAATGCGTTGCTCAGTCTTGCGTCAGGCTCCACTGAAACTGGGTAAATCAAACGAACGACGATATTCCGATTTGTTTTTAAACGTTCGGGGGATATTTAATAATTTTGACCCAGGCTACCAAGTGTACTTACCCCTTGTAATTTCAAGAAAAGCTACACAGGACGCAAAACAGGCAATGTTCACTATGTAACCAGTAATAATTAATCTATGACCGAATATTTATGTATCTCGACATTTTTAAAAAACGTATTTTACAAATAAAATCAAACAATTACAGAATTTTTTAAATTTTAAAAACTAGCACAATTTTTGCCTAAATGCTCTGGATTTTTATTTTTTAATATGCTGTCCTAGTATTTTTTAAAGTAGCATCCAGAAAAATAACATTTCCGGTCCATTGCGCATTTTGTACGGAAGAGACTTTACTGTGAGCTCGGCAACACGCTGCGTAAGAACAAACAGTCCAGAGATCACTGCCCTGGTGAACGTCAGACTGAGGTAGTCCCCAACGGTCTTTGCTAGCCAAAGATCTGATTTAACTTCAAAATATTAAAAAAAAAATTAAAAAAAAAATCACTCCATCTGCTTTGCAATTACTTTTTTGGTTTTTAATGAAAAAAAGCCCTAAAGCTGCAGCGTGCCGGAGCATGGCAGCAGGCAAACAGGGCCCTGCCGAAATGGAAATAATGGTTTTAAAAAATAAAAGCAGAACAATGCCTAGCGCTCAAGCGCATTGAGATTTTTACGCAGCCCGGCCTCCAGCGCCACGGCAGCTCCGCTCTGCTCCCTGCACCACTCCAAAACGGTGCTGCCGGGACGGGGCCGCCCTGCCATCACCGCTCCGTTCACGGCAGGTCAGTGGGTCAGCACCTCTGGTCGCACAAGCCCCCAGTTAGACATGCCATGGTCACTGGCACCGCCCGGTGACCTTGGCCGAGGCCTGGAGGACAACTTGGGAGAGAAGGGACTTGGGCAGTGGCATGGGTCGGGGTGGCAGCCGAAGAGAAGGAAGAGCAGCCCCCGGGCAGCTCAGCACCCTGCGGGGACCTTGGCCGAGCTGGAGGAGGATGGATGGAAGCTCCTGGGTAAGCGGCTCTGGAGCACATGGGCAATGAGCGAAACCGAGAAGCACATAAATCCACCAAGCGACAACACTGCAAGTCACTTCTCACCAGGCGGGAAGAAAAGAGGAGAGGCTTGTCTCAGCAGCCTTGCATCAGAGCAAGAAACTGCCTCAAGGTATTGCAAAACCGGCGCAGCGCGCTCAGAGCGACGCGCTGCTGCTCTGCACGGCGTACTTGGCATCATCCACACGTCACCGTGCAAGGGACGAGGGGCTCGGGCGAGCCCTGCCCGAAGCGATTATTTAATTTGTGCTGGGGATGAGGAGGAGGTTACTGCTGTGGGAAATCGCTGTTCTCCGGGGTGAAGAGGAAGGTGATGGTCTGGGTGAGAAAGTCCCAGCGGGAGGGATGAAGGCAGCCAGCTGCCCGCATTGTCTCTGCCCTGGAGCTGGGAGCAGACCTCGTCCGAGCCCCCGACGTGGCACAACACGCTGCTTTGCCACAGCAGCCAGGGCCGGTCGGGTCAAACATCTCCATTTAAATGTTACACCCCAACGTGGACCCTCACCTCTGGGACAGACCCCGCTGAACAACGGCCTGAGCAAGGCAGCACAGCAACACACAAGCGAGTACCAGCAGTGCCCAGTGAGCCCCACCATGCTTCGGCATGGGGGCTGCAGCCCACAGTCCTGCTGTTTACCTTAGTGTCCCAGTTGCTATTTAGGCAAAAGCACCATCTCAGCCACCAGTAAAGCCACCACCTCCCAGGCCGGCGCACACAAGCCCTCGCTCCCTGCCAGAGGCTGCAGCTCTTCTCAGCCAGTCCCTTTCCACCATGGTGCTGCCCAGAGGGAAACCTCCTCCTTCTCCCCGGGCTGGGGCCAGAGCTCAC